GAAATGAAAAAAACAGCATCATTAGTATTTTTTGATTTTTGGTATGCAAATTGGTTTATGCTTAGAATGTTATGTCTTTCTATAAATTCCATCATTCTTTTCTTTACCAATTTTTCCATAATTTGCTAAGAAGGGACATTGGTCTAAAATTAGATGGGTCTGTAAAGGATCCTGACTTATGCAAAGGAATAACCAAGGCAGTTTTTAAGATGTCAGGAAATTCACCATCTACAAAACTTTTGTTTATTGAGTGCGCCAGTGCTTCCAAAGCTTCATCATTCAGATTTTGGAAAATCTTTTTTGACATTTCGTCTATACCTGCAGAGTTCGTTTTAATATCACCCATAACCATTTTTATTTCAGTTTTGTCTGTATTAACCAGTATAAAGGTCTCCCCAACATATGCCCTGAATAAGTTCTCCATTGGATCCCAATCTGATCTGATATTTGAAGCCAGATTTTTTGCTACTGTGCAGTAAAAAATATTCAAAGCGTCAACGTTTATATCGGCGGTTTGTCCTAACACATTATTCTTACTCCTAAGATCATTTACAATAGCCCAAGCTTCCTTAGACTTATTTTGTGAGTTATCAATTCTGTCCTCATAATATTTTTGTTGAGCTCTCCTAATGGTACTCTTGTATATTCTACGGTATGTCCTGAAATAGTTAACGAAAAAATCATTGTTTGTAAATTTTCGAATTACGCACAAGGATCTAAAGTTTTGTGAGGAAATCTTAATGCCCCAAGTTATCCACTTTTTTTTCTTTTTTCTGTGTCTCATCCTGCGCAACGGAAAGCTCTCCAGAAAAATCTTCTGTACAACTAAGTGAAAGGCGTCGATAGGCCTGTCCGAGTCGAGCACCAATTCCCAATTTATCACACTAACCTTTTCCCTAAAATTTCTAAAGTTTTCACCTGAAAAAATGCGCTTACATTGTGCAGGTTCCCTTTTAGATAGTTTTTGTATGGAAAAGCTGGAAAATAATGCCTCATGGTCAGAAAGATTGTTAGGAAGGACCTCACACTTTACATTGTCATTACTAAAGTTGGTACAAAAGTAATCTATAGTAGTGGCAGTCCGATCTGTTATTCTAGTTGGAGAGTTAACAAACATTTTTAAGTCATAAGAAAGCATTAGATTCTTCAAAGCTACTGTACCAGCCAATTTATCACTACTGTAATCTAAATTAAAATCACTGGTACAAACAATTTTACTATTTGGTGGTAGGTCCAATAAAATGGTTTCTAAACTCATTAGAAAACCAGTTGAATTTGTAACAGGAGGACGATAAACACAGAGAATATAGATATTATTTTTCTTATTATATGCCAATGAGAATTCAAAAATGCTTTCTGTATATAAATGGTTGTATTTATTTGTTTTCTAGCGTAAAATATGAAGCAGAATCCCTGTTTACCAAAATACTTGTACCACAATAACCTATGTTTGTCGATCTACAGCTATTTGAAATAACATGATACCCAGGAATGCCGAAAGGTTCCTCGGGTTCCAACCAATGCTCTGTCAATACTATTAGTTCTGGGTAGTTCAATTCATCAAGAAATATACAAAGTTCATCAATTTTATATCTAACAGAGCGTATATTTCAGGTTAAAGCTCTGATGCTGTGTTTACTTGAGTTATTTCTAAAAAAGATTTTTCACTAGTAACATGCAATATTTGATCAGAGCTTTCCCTAACACCGGCCTCAGACTGAAGAGAACTCTCCTTGTCAGTACTGTGGCATTTTACACTAATTTCTAAAACAGGCTGAGCCCCTGTACTTGTTACTGCCTTATCCTGCTTTAAGCCCTTATTCATAAAAGGGTGGTATATATGTATCCTTCCATAAATAACATTTACAAATCAATTAACAATCTTTTTTTTTCCCAAGTAGTTTATTCTGCCCACTGGGTTAAAAAATAAACGAGAGACAATGGAATTAATATTGAAGTAAGTTACATTCTCGGTTACATTCTTAACATTAACATTTGCGAGAACATTTGTTAAAACTACCTTGTTGTATATTTCAATATTAATTCTGTCTATGAATTGGTTGAGATAAAAATTATTATTTCCTGTCTTCGGAATTGATAGCAATATTACATTAGTAAATTTCAATATATTCACAATAGCATCCATAGCCCTAACATTAATTAACTCCTGGGATGCATTGATTGCATTTATAAATCCACCCTTCACGATAACATAGTCATTCAATGTAAATCCCTTTGCTAGAGATTCTATGTTCGAGGTTATGTCTTCAAACAAGGCATTTGTCTTAAGGACAGTTATGACATTTTTCACCTTCACCGTTTTATAAATTATTCCACCAAAACCTAGAATTAAGATCCTCCCTTTAAATGTTTCTGGGTATGGTGTGCCTTCCTTTGGTACACCGACCCGCATACTTGTGTCTCGTTTGGGGTTGTGAATATTCCTGCCTTCCCCATGCAAATTTCCCTTTGATGACCCTACATTGTTGAATTTAACTAGTCCTTTTAATTCGTTGATCTCCTTTTCGAATAACTCTTTTTCAACCTCCAGTGTTCTAATTGACGAGATCATGTTTTCATTAATATTTTTAAATTCAGCTAGTTCATCATTCAAGCACTGTATATTTTGCTTTGTCTCATTCAGTTCTATGATTTGCTTGTTATATAATTTGTTTTCATCTTCCAGCGCTTTTATTGTTGTAATCATATTGTTGTTTATGTCTTTAAAATTTTCAAGTTTTCTATTTAGGTCTTTCAAATTGTTGTCAGCTTTATTCAGTTCAGCTGATTTAATAATTATTACTTCCTTGAGTGAATTTTTTTCTTCCTGGAGTAAGACTAATTTTGATCTATATTCGTTCTGCGTATTAACCATATTTTGTTCTGTGTCAAGGACTTCTTTCTCAAAAGACATTGAAGCTCTTTTTAGTCTCGCAATGTAATCATCTTTATCCTTTATTTCTGCCTGAAGTTGTAGATTCCTGTTACTTAAAATAGTTAGTTCTTCCTTCCATTCGTCTTTAGATTGTTCAAATACTTCCTGCCCTTTGATAATTTCTTGCTTAAGTTCATCCATCTTTACTGAATAAATATCACTTAGTTTTTGGTTATTGCTATCCTTCCCAATACACTCAGATGAGCAAAGTACTCTCCACTATTCTTTGGTGCGAAGTCACCTTGAGTATTGCTGCGTGATCTGGTCGCTATATTACCTAGTCGAACAAGTTCAAATGAAGTGTGTTAACTTCTTACTATATAAACTCAGAATCGATGAATGCCAATTTTCACATCAATATCGTCTGCAACTGCTAAATATCGAAAGCCTGGAGATATGGAGGGTTTTCCTTTCACTTACATTCAGGGGATTCGTTTACTAATAACATAAATTGCTCTGAACTCTTGACACTTGTGAACTTTCGGATACCATCTATCAATACTTAAATAACATATTCTTAACTAAAAGAAGCCAGACCGACATTGGCAAAAATAGTGCTAGGATTGCGTCTTTTCAACATATATCCCCATACATTTTGATTTCAACTGTACCCCAAATGCCTTTAAAAATAAGTTGATGACAAATAACACATTGGCAAACATAGTTAACATTTGGGGTAATATAGAAGCTCATATAAAAGGCGGAAGCAGAATAAAAACCCCTGGACGACGAAGGCAATTCTGGTTCAGATTTTGGTTTCCTCGGTACTAAATATTCCATTTCCCAACCACTTGTTAACTGTCCCCTATGATAAGTTGCAGGTCTAATGTATGAGTATTGGGAGCCAAAACGTCGTTATTGGACACGACTTTAACCAGCATGATTTAATTTATTTCATATAGACTTAGTAGGTATATGAGTTATACCATTTGGAGTTTGCTCTGTTGTGCATTCTAGTAAATAAATGAATAAATAAAAAATTGATTCTACATCGGAATAATCAATAGTGTCGAAGGTATCCATGTTCCAATAAACATCCTTGAAACTTAAAGTTTTAGCCCCAAAAAATTAAAATGCAAATCTGGACAAAAACATTTTCAAATTCCAGAAATGGGATTTATTTTAAATAGAACATCAACTAGGAGCAACAAAAATTATAATCAACAAGTGTTGAATATGATTTCCGTTCTGATCAACACATCTTTGAAGCAGATATTCGAATGATTTTGATAGTATTTCTCAGGGAATTCCGTTTATGACTTTTCATATGTTACATTTTAACTCTTGCTTGAAAATTTCTTCAAAAGAAGCCTTCATGACACAAGAAGAGAGCCGCAGCACGATATCGTGTTAGAAGTGAATAATTTCCTCCCATCAAGTTGAGGATGAAAAATGTTTCTAGCATCTCTGTATAAACTGTTCCAGATACAGTCGATTCTTTACAGAAAAGTAAGCCCCATATTTCATTAAAAATAGTTGGATCATTTGGGGAAAAACGGCCTTTTTTACTCCCATTGTATGTGTCAAAACAAATTGCTACCAACTATAAAAAAACATTAGACCAAGAGAGAAGGTATGACGCAAACCGCAGGTGGCTAGAGACCTACCACACGTTTAGAAGATATAGGCATTTAGGTAAAATTGTAACTTTCTATTGGGACAGCCTGTATAATAATTTGTCTAATGCAACAAATTGATCGGGGACAGCCTTGCATTGGAGTATACAATACAACAGCATTCAGTATTTTAATCCAGTAAGGTGGCGTTGACGACGAATATTTTGGCATTCAAAATCTGAGAGTGATGAGATTGGTCGATTTTTGTGGAATCAGTAGACGAAAAGATAAACCTAACATCAAAATTGGACCAAATTTTTGTCAAAACCTTTCTCATAGTTTGTTTTATGATTATTTTTTTGTTTTTAAGCTCCTGTAACATATATATTCAACTATTTTCGATTTCTTTTCAATTCCTATCTATACAGTTGTTGAAACTTTTACTTCTGAGGAGTGTCACAAATACCTAATTATTGCATTCCACATTGACAAATATATTCTTATTTCAGGTTTCAGCTTTACATTATTCCGATTCATCGAAACAACTAATTAGCGCAGGGGAAGATGGCGTTATGGTTTTCTGGGATATGAACCAGTCGCGTCAGGAAACTCCAGAATGGGTGGAATCCGATCTGTGTCAGTTGTGCAATAAGCCATTTTTTTGGAACCTCAGGTAGAAACTTGATCCAATCCAATCCAACCACATACTACATTATCTGTTATTTTAGAGCTATGATGGACCAACGTCAGCTTGGATTAAGGCAGCACCATTGCCGTCACTGTGGTAAGGCGATTTGTGAAAAATGTTCACAAGCTCGTCTCACTATCCCAGCAATGGGTTTTGAATTTGCAGTTAGGGTTTGCGAACCTTGCCATGCGTTGTTGAAGGATAAAGAGTAACAATTTTCTGAGTGTATATTTGTTTGTATTAATTAGTTGTCTTTTTAGGAGAATCTCCCTAGCAACTTTCCATGATGCAAAACACTGTATCATAGCCATGGATGTAGATGAAACATCAAAAAAAATCGTAACAGTCGGTCAGGATCGGATTATTAAAATTTGGGATATTTCAGCTTTGCTTTAAATTATTTATTTAAAAAAAAAAACTCATATTGTGATGTGATGTATAATCTATTGAAATTTTTCCTTTCAATTAACAAGTTTTTATCTTATTATTTCAAGGAGATGGATTTTGTTGGGTTCAGTTTGGGTTTGCATTGGGATAATTTAAACTGTACCGGGCAAAATTTGCATCCATAGAAAGAATGTTATAAAGTGTAAAGGTTATGTTTAATAGTGTTATCCTATGTATAGTTTTTAAAAATATTATTATTATTGTGTTTAATGATACTTTCTATAGATTCTAATAAAAAATGCTGTATAGTTTTCTGTTTCTAAAATTGTAGATTTTTTTTTCAATCCAATGCCTACGCTTTTTAATTATTATCAATGAAACTGCAGACATTTTTTTATTAGCAGGTATAATAATAATAATAATAACAAATCTTTATAACTACCAGGGCTCAGTACATTTTTACTATAGTAAGTCAATTGGTTTCTACATGATGCTAGCACCTTAAGCCAGAGCCGATTGCTAAAAATGTCCCAAACGAGCCCCCTCCTTGGAGCATTACTTTTCCTACTGTGTTTACTAGCTCTCTGCCTCTCAATCCACTCCTAAAAAGCCAAAGGTTTGTATAATTACCTCAATAAAATATGTATGGAGAGTAAACAACAATACAGTTGTTGGTCTCAACTTTGCATCCTTACTCTATGTGTAAGGATGTTCTCCTGTGATACTTAATAACATGGGCAAGTAGTAGTGACAAGCGATAATACCTTTGTTAAAATTTTTGTTGCGAACAAAAAAATAAACATGCAATAATCAAATGATTTAGGGGTAGTGGCGCAAGCGAAGGTGGTTGAAATACATTTTAGTACATATTTAAATAGTAACAAGAACTGATATGAGTGGAAAGTCAGCAGGGTATTGATGAAACATCCAGTAATAATTATGCTTACAAAAACCTGGTTAAGGGATGATAAAGATGACAGTTTTGTGAGTTTAAAACAATCTTTCAAGATTCAAGAGGAATAATTATAGTTAATATACAAATTTTTAAAGAAGAACATCCTTAATTGAATATTCCAAATGTTACCTTAAGGCCGAGAATCCACCAAACAAGCCACCACTAGCCATTCCCACACAAAAGCCCAAAACGAAACCCATTTTCATTTTGTCAAAACATGAAGGGCCTTGTTGCGAGTATACACCTCCAGGTACAGCTGGCATCTGAAAACAGATTATACATAAATATCTAACGATTGAGGTTCCCAAATTGAGCCATATTTCCTTCCAGCCTGAGCCTGAAACTTGGAACATAATTTTATGTGAAAAAATCAATATGAGGTACTGGGTACTACACTTTGAAGTTGAAGTGCAAAGTTTGTTGAGACCAAATCAAAACCTCCATTTGCTAAAAAACAAAATAGTTCGGGTTGCCAGTTATTTTACTCAAATTTATAGATTGGAGCATTTTTTTGGGCATTAGGTATTAGTCAAATATGGATATTGAGCGTAACATTAGGGTGATTGAGGTACTGTATATAAAAAAGGTTTTGCAAGTTTTCAGTGGATTCACATTTCCAAGGATCTTCTCTTTGGGATTCGGCGAGCGGAGCAAGCAATCGGAAAGGAAAAAAATATTTATTTCATCCTAACTTAAATCCAAGGAAAATTAAAGAGATTGATTTAGCTGATACTTGATGGAAATCCATTACAAATTTTTAAAGGAACAAAAAAGGATTCTAGATTTGTGGAAATCTAGAAACCTTTTTTGTTTCCTATCAAAATTTCTAAAGAAAATTGCCTTAACACAAACTGTGCTTTTCTTTTGGCAAAAACCTTCAATACATGCATCTTAATTGATACAAAGGATATATCAACTAATTTTTATAGGAATTTTTTTAATTTTGGTTGTATTATGTTTTACACCTCTGTTAAATTAAATTTTGTATTATATATATTAACAACTTCCTTGGATATCATCAACCAAGCTTTCTAAGGATACCTGCACAACGGAACTGTGAAAAATGTATCGCCTTCTCATTTTGCCTTTAAACAATTTCATCTTGCATTTCTGATCCTGATGTCGGACAGTGATGAAGATTATTTATGTTTGTCTGCTACAAAGTGGAATGTTTTGCGGTATTTATCCCCAAGCGAGTCCCCAAAAGAATACCATACTCAACCAGTCAATCAAAAACGGTTAGAAATGGGAGATTATCACCACTTATATCAGGGCTTGAAGGGATACCCTGATTCTGATGATTGTTTGTTTGTATCAATATTTGAGAATGGAGAAAGAATGGTGAAATTCTTCTAGTATGCTATAAGCGATCATTCCAGAATCCCAGCTATACTATATACTCACTGTTCCGATGTGCACGTTCACATTTAAATTAGTAATATAATTTTATTCTAACCATCGATAATAGCTTCCATCTATCATCCAGGCTATAAGAGGGTAAATATTACAGCTCTGCTGTGCACGTAACCTTAGTTAAGTCACATTAAGTTGAATGCTAAAATCAAATAGTATTGCTATTGCTAGTACCTACAAATAAGCGGACTGAAGGATTGATTGTCTGGGATTCCATATTTCATTATTTCATCACTTTGTCATTTCAATGGGTGAATAAGTTTAGAAATTAGGCAATGTAGATGATCATTTGTGACTCTAAACTGATATGTAATACAGAAGAAAACCCAGAAAAACTACGAAATTTTAAATTTTGAGGTTGAGGTTGAGGTTATGTGATGCGACCCTCCTCATGTAAACAAACAAAATAAAGGAGGCTTTTAATGGCAGGATGAGCTAAATGTACTTACTTTTCAAGTCGATTCGGTTGGGATTCGAGGTTCTAGATAATTAAATGGCTTATCTGAGGTTTATATATGTAATAAAATAAATTTATTTAAAAAAAAACACAAAATGTTAAAAAGTGACAGACGACAGAAAAGAAGAAAGATGTCGAGATCAATTGACATACAGGGCCGAGTTCAGAAATAACGCACAGGGTGCGAGTGCCTGAATTGACAATTGGCCATTGGGCCCATAGCACCGTCTAGCATTTTTGAACAGCTAGGGCGTCGCACCGGTGTCACACTCACACTGGGTGTGTCATTCCTGAACTCGCCCCAGTGGTGGCGTTCATCGACGTATCGCTACCAGCGATCAAATTATGGAGGAAAAAATGAGCTGCTTTCTGCTTTCCCTTCCAATATGCACATTGGCGCGCTCTGGCTGGAGCACCACGGAAGCGCCCCGCACTAGATTTGTACCGTTCCAGTATCATCGCGTGAAACGCCTGTATTCCAAAAATAATACACTACTACTACAGGATAGCCTATCCTCATAAGGCCTGTGGGCTGTGTCGAACAAATCTGAAGCCTCCCACCATACGCCAAATCACCACACCAGTTGTGACGTAGACAGCATATTGCTTCTCGCCTTGAAGTAGGCTGTTTGCACCACAGGTTTATGCTCCGCAGGCTTTCACCGTATGCATACTTGGTTTTACTACATTAATTAACATTCTAAAACAACTCCTTTTTAGATCTCGTTCGCATCTTCCTCAATAAGAATGGTGATACACCAATATGGCCGCGATTCTCAAAAACGAGGCCGATAAGCAATCATTAGTAGTGTGTATTATCCTTGTGTCTTACCAACCACCATTGAAATGTCAAGTGTCAAATATGTCAAAATTTCAAAATATTCAAAGCCGATTAAACGCGATGGAATATTAATAACCGAGTCAAAAATGGTATAACCATTCACGTAAACGCGGTTTTGGTTATTTTTGATCATTCCGTAGTGACGTCATCATTTGGCCCTTTGTGACGTATTAAATCAGCTGTTTTTATCTTTGGTTCAACCATTTTTAACCTACCTTTGGAGCTGGTTATTATGTTCTGTCCTTGTCTGAAAAAGTATATAAGGAGAAATACCCGAAATGGCGGATTTTGACGGGTTTTTCGTTGTTCTGTTGTGTTTTTTTTTGTGCAACCCCAAAAAATGAACTTCGAACTAATCGGAAAATCAATCTTTGAGGATTTGATCTAGGTCAACACAAAACTAAACACTAAACTTCACCAAATAATGAAAATAATAATTAAGTACTGTAGGTACTTCAAGTAAAAATTTAACAAAAAACAATCACAAGACACAACAGAACAGAATAAACAAAAAAAATGGGGTTGACGAAATAACCATAGCATAAACGCGAGCTCTCTCAGGTTAATCAAAAAGGGTCGACAATCGCTGTTTCAAGGCTAACTAAAGGACTGACCAAAGATATAACCGCGGTTATCAATATTCCATCGCGTTTAATCGGCTCAAATATAAAGCACAATTTTAAGCGATTGACCGATCGGTCATCTTGACAGATAAACCATTAATTAAGCGTCATTTGTTAACCAATTAATTCTTTTCACGTGGCTCCGGTTTAACTAACCGGGTTACAGAACGGTTAGAGAAATGACATACCGTTTTCTAACCCGGTTACAAAGTAACGTGATGGATACGCATACCTACCCTACCACTCGAATTTGAGCGGTATGTTGCGGTTTGTTAAACCGGAGCCACGTGAAAAGGGTTAATGGTTTAACTGGCGTTAAATAGTTGTATTCCTTTCAAGAGTTTGAAACACTTGAGCTACTCGCTCCGGTGTTTAGCCGCCCCCGATTTGCAGGGAACAGATACGTGGTGCAACAAACACTTTTCGAAAGGAATAAGCGCGTGAAGTCCCGGAGCTCCTCCTAGGTGTGAAAGGAATACAACTAATGCATTGCTTACCGCCCTTATCGGTCAAGATGACCCACTGGTGAATCGCCTGAAATTGGCCTATGATGAGTGCATTCCGTTTCCAACCTTGGTTACGGTTACACGGTCCGTAATGTCACAACCTGAAAAACCGGAAGTCACTTTTTCGTCTTCGATTGAAAAAGCGTTCCGTATAAAAATCGAAATTTTCAGCAACCACTCACTCACTATCAACTGACATTGTACCGATCGGTTAACCAGGTTTGGAAACGGAACCCACCCTAAATAGCCACAAAAGGTAACCACCTTTGAAACTACAGAAACAAAAACCAAACCAAAAAACGAGGCCGATAAGCAATCCAGTAGAGTGTATTATCCTTGGCGCCGCGTGTCGTTTTAAAATTTTATTTAGGCTTTACAGTGTAAAGGGTGTAAAGTCTGTTTTTTTTTTAAAGATAATTCCCCAAGTCAAAAATTTAGTAACTATGTTGGCAACACAAGCCTTTTCTACATAAAAAATTTGAAAGATTGACAATTTTACATTGTATCACAAAAAAAAAAAACAGATTTTACCACCGCGCGTATAGCTCAGGAGCTCAATGCTCCGAGTAGCCTCGAGCGTCACACTCCCATGCCGGAAAGCAGCGTGTCCGCTCCAGAAGCAATTTGGAGTGATCAATTTGACAAAATAGGCGTTCATCATAAAATTGATGATCGCTACAGTAGGGCTATGTCCGATGAAGGCCACCAGTGACCCCAAGGATAATACACACTACTACTACAGGATAGGCTATCCTCAGAAAGCCTGTGTGGAACAAATCTGAAGCCTCCCCACCACGCCATATCACCAAGTGTGACGTAGGCAACATGTCGTTTCTCGCCTTGACGTAGGCTGTTTGCACCGCAGGTTCTGATTTCGTTCGCAGACTTTTGCGGTACTACAATAGTTATGGTGGATTGCACAAAAAAAATTACTCCTCATTCTTAGCACGTACTTAGCGAAGCTTGATCTTAAAATTTAAGTTTGCATTGATCGCTTTGACTTGCACCAACTTTACGTAAAGGAAACTTAGCTAAGGTTAGTTTTGAATTCCGAACTAGCTGGCAACAGCGTAGGATGTACGCATTTCGATTTAAATACAGAATATACGTCATAGTTGTTATTCGTGTGAAAGATAAAGATGAATAATGTTTATGATTTCTTGAGAGAAACCAAACAATACGAATCAACAACGAATCCACAAGTAGAAACTACAAACATAACCAAGCTTTGTCCACCCAAATTAACCTTGAACCACGAATTCTCCGCTCTTTCGCATTTGTATGTAGGTGACCTGTGGTATTATGCTCAGGCAAACTTAATTTTTTTTATTTGTATTTTTTGGTAATAAAATAATAATGCAATACAAACTGCCTTTATTTTATATAAAACACAATACCTAATTTAAACAAGTTTTAAAAATATGTACATATAAGTACTTAGGGATCCTAATTTAAATTTTGAAAATATTGTACCATTTCATTTCTGAAGGCTCTTGCTCCTACATCATGATACCCATGTTTGGTGGATTGGGTATCCTTTGCATTTCTATTAAATAATTTAAATTATCTCCATCCAGCTTTACAGGGGGTACCTCCTCCCTATTTATAATTGCAACATTATGGAGAACAGCTGTGGCTACTATGGTTGATATTAACCCATAAGCCATTGCAGGAAATCATCATCAAATAATTCCATATTTAAACATAGATTTAAAACTCGGATTTTAAGAAACAAAATAATATAGGTAAAAATATCTCGATAAACATAATTTTTATGAAATCACTACGACAAATAATTGACATTTGCATTTGACAAAAAAAAAAACAATTATTTCTACCTAAGAACCTGTTAAGGTCCCAACAGTGGTGCCTTAAAGTTAGGAATTCCTAAACCCATCTTAGGTGAGTTTTCTGACTGGTGCAACCGAATTTTCCTTACTTAACTTTCAGAATAACTTAAGAATGACTTAAGACGTTCAATCCACCATTAACATTCTAAACCAACCCTTTTTTAGATTGTTTGCATCTTCCTCTTTCCCTATTATGTTAATCAAAATTAGGCGCTGGTACAAAAGTGCGCACGCATAAAAGAGCGCACGGACAAAGGAGCGCGGGGTCAAAAGAGCGCATGGACAAAAGAACGTAGGGACAATAAAAGAGTGCTCGGACAAAATAGCGCGGACAAAAAAGCGCACAGACAAAAGGGCGCCGATTTTATAAAATACAAGAACACATGAAACAAAACTGTTTTTAAATGACTGTCTACATTGGGGTACTTAATGAAAACAACAAAACTCGAGGAGAAAATCCTCATATCAAAAGAGCGACATTTACAACGGCGACCTCTAAGCAAAAGAGGGACACATCAAATTGTATAATAATTACACTGCCGAGCATAAAATTAGGGTCACCCCATAATTTGCAATTATTTTTAAAATTTTTGGTTTTGGCGAATTGTTTTTTTTTTGGTGTAAAGTTCACTAACTTTACGCGATGATTTTGTCGTAGTTGCTTGAATTTGAAAAAAATCTTGTTGTTTTGCCCCAAGTTTTGCTTGCAAATTATCGGATGACCCCAATTTTTATGCTCGGCAGTGTATAATAAAAAAAATGCATACTTACTCAAACTAACCCAAACTAACCCGTTCGCCTAGTGCGATCTAGTCCTCCGTAAGTTAGCATTTTATTTAAAAAAACAGTCAGTTTATTGTTGGCGTAGCGTCCCTTTGACCGTGCCTTGTTTTTCAAATAAAATGCTAACTTAACGAGGACTAGATTGCGAACATGTTAGTTTGGGTTAGTTTGAGTAAGTCTGAATTTTTTTGATTATAATTATTATTCAAACATTTTGATGTGTCCCTCTTTTTGCTTAAAGGTCGCCGTTGTAAATGGCGCTCTTTTAATATGTCGCCTTTTTGATGCCGCTATTTCAAATATCGCTCGTCCATAGCTCTTTTGTTTATCGCGCCTCTATCCAGTCACGTTTTTGTTAATCGCGCTTTATTCCAGTCGCGTTTTTGTTCCGTCGCGCTTTTGTCCCTCGAGTTTTTGTCCCTCGCGCTTTTGTTCAGTCGCGTTTTTATTCCGTTGCGCTTTTCGTATCGCGCTTTTCTCAGTCGCGCAAACGGCTGTCGCGCAAATGGCACGGAGCCGGTAGCATCTAAACATTCC